GTGCCTTCTCCATTATTAAGATTACAGTTTTCTTAGGATAGAAACTGGGGTCTCTCTTTTATTTAGAAAGCACAAGGAACATGTGTACCACTTCAGAAAGAAAAGAATAATGCCATTATTTACAACTCAAGAGTCTGACATTTGTAAATGCCCGAATCAAAAGAGTAAACTGTGCACAGCCCTCTTTGATTGGCCTGAATCTGGAGATAAGACAGCAGAAGGCACAGAAGAGAAATCTGATTTGAAAATGTGCCTTTCATGCTCGGGGCCCTCAGATGAACATGGGCTAAAAGCCGGTATTCTGATGCTATCCAGGGGCTTCAATCATTTTAGAAAAGGCAGTTAGCCACATCTTGGCATATTAAAAACAAAATCTAAAAAAATAAAATAAAATAGGCCTTCTGTTTCTCTGTCACACTTAGAGCCAGTCAAGGGCTGGCCATATTTGCAGAGCAATTGTGGAGGGCTGTTACGCCCTCTGGACATGCAGTTTAATTGGGTAGTAAAACAGAATTTCTGCTTTCAGGACTGCAAAACTCGAGGTTCCGTCAAGGACACAAACTCAATTTCAAAAGCCCATGGAAGCAGCAGGGTTACTGTCCAGTTCAACAAGGAAACAGGTTGAATGATTAACAAAAAGGACTAAAATCACTTTCAAATAAAGTAGTGATAAAAGCAGGAGAATCTGTTGTGCCACTAACCCAGGAACTATTTGTCCTGTCTCTCATCTTTTTCCAGGGTGAAAGAGTCAGCTGTTTCTAGTACCATGCCATGGACATGACTAGGAGGTCTCCCCACATCCCCGCTGGCTCCCCACTACCTCTCAGATCCAATATAATCTCCTTGTTTGGGCATTCAAACCAACCTTGGGCCAGACCCTGCCTTTCCAGGCCATCCTTCCATTTCCTGTACAGCCAACCAAGCCGTCTCGCTCTTTCCCAAATACACTATTTCACCATTCATTCATATGCTTTTGAACAAGCTGTCCCTGTGCCTCAAATGGACTCCCTCCTAACCTCCAACTTACGCCAGGCCTGAGCTTCCTTTAATGCGTAGCTCCTTCAAGAGGTCCATCTCGATGCTCTCAGCCGCCAATGTCTGCCCTCCCTGCCTCCCATCCTGCCTCCCATCCTGCCTCCTCCGCCCTGGCACCTGCCCTGCCTCCAGCCCTGCCAGAGCTCTGTAAGCAGTTTGGAGGGAATTGGTGGCATTTTGCCTCTTCCATTAATTAGTCTATGAGTTTCCTAAGAGCAGGGATCATCTTTTGCCTTTCTTTGTAATCCCAGGGCTTAGCACAGCACTCAGTACACAGTAAGTGCTTAATAAATGTTTACTGACCAAATGATTACTCTGACTTTGTACAAACTTCATATTTACTTATCAATGTACAAGTTATTTCCCCCCCACAGAACATAAGTTGTCTCCGTATCACCAGGGCCTAGTGTCTGGAATATATTTGGCATCTGATAAATGTGTGCTGAACAAGTAAGTGAATGACATTCTGTGCACGGGAGATTCTAAAGCCTCTTTTTTCTTTTTCACCTCATAACCGGCCTTTACGAGCCGCATTTCGAAACTGGTGGTACCCCCACTATATGCTGCAAGCTCACAATTATACCTGCTGGCACACCAGTGACAAGCCTGGGCACATTTTGGTCAATGCAAAAACTGCTAGTGACCATCAAAGGGCATGGCATGCAAGTGTGTGTGCATTGTCCAAAATACTTGTCTTCACTAGAATCTGGACTTCTAGCATCCAGGGGGAGGAAGGAGAGAGGAGACATTATTTTAAAGATTGCCTTGGATTCCACGTAGTAGTTAGTAAACTAGTTATCGCTATCCATGTAGCTCGTCTGCCACTCCCTTTGCCTCTCTCTCCCTTTTCTACCTTTCTCATCTTCTTGATGGTTCTAAACCAACTGCATCATGTCGAGTGATGACCTCCTTTTAATTCCATAATCTTCAATCTAGAACCACTACACTGGATTCTAATTAGTAGGTTCAACTGCCAAATCATTATAACCCCACTCTCATATCTTGATCATTATTTTGATCTCGGAATGAATCTGTCACATTTATTAACTGGGTAGAAAAGACAACCTATAGACAAATGATGAATATATTTTGAGTGTGAAGGTTAAGTCGCCCCATGTTCAGCTTGACCCTGGTTCAATCACCTTTTGAGGCCATGGTTCTTTGGGCCCTTGAATGGCAAACCTCTTTGAGTCTCCAGTTGGCAAAGCTGAGGCTCAGGAATCAATCACTGTCTTTTTTCCCCTCTGGCTGAAGAACATTGATTCATTTTTGCTAACCAGGCCCATACCACACTGCTCTTCATCAGGCCACAGAACCATCAAGGAAACACCCATTCATACCAGGAAGCCCTCATATCCCTCAATAAAGAATGCCATAGCACCTCAATCAAAAGCAAGTAGAGGGAATTAATTTAACAACCAGAACACAAACTTCTTCCCCTCCTTCTACCCCTGCCATCCACCCACACACGAAGGAAAACAATTTGCTTTAGGTATTTATCGACCCAGATGCCCAATTTGATCTCCTGCTGGCTCAAAGCCCTCTTCCCTGGTAGCTAGAGAAAGAACAGATTACTGCCATCCGGGAGTTCTACTTGATTCCACCCAAAGGGAAGCAGACTCTCACCATTTTTCAAACTGATTTCTACAATTCAGAGTTAACCTCACCCAAGGCAAGATGCTCCTTTCCCTGTTTTCCCTCTGAGCTACCTGATGCCCATTCATCTTTGTCTCTGCCCTCCTTTCCCAGGGCACCCTTATGAAGGAAGCCCCGTTCTGACTTGAATAAACTTCCCTTTAGTTAGATGTCGTCCTTTCCCACTCTTTCCACAGTCTCATTTATGTAATACTTATTATGCGATAAGTACTGTGCTAACTACTTTACAATTATCATCTCATTTGATCCTCACAACAACCCTGAGAGGTAGATGCTATGATTATCGCCATTTTACAGATGAGGAAACTGAGGCAAATAGGGGTTAAGTGGCTTGCCCATGATAACACAGCTAGTCAAAGGCTGGATTGGAACTCAGGTCCTGCTGATTCCAAGCCCAGTGTTCTATGTGCTGTACCACCTAGCTGTGTAAGATTCAGGGTACTTCATGGGTCTATACCCCTAAAACGAAAGATCATAGATCTCCACTACTGTACTTCCCTTGAACAGTCAGCCATTTGATAGAATTAGGTCAAATTAAAAAAAACCAAACATTTACTGAAATGGCACAGTCCTTACAAAACATCTCTGCCTCCCAGCCTTACAAATATGCACAGCATCAGTGGGAAAAGTTGGCATGTACATAGAGTATACTGGAAGAAAGAGTGTCAAATGACTCAATGTCTGCTTTTACTCAAGAGCTATTAAAGACTGATGGCTTAAGCCACATATCTATGGTAAATAAACCCACTACAAACTTTAGTTAGTTTATCTTGACTGGGCCCTCAATGCAGCACAGCCATGTTTACTCTTCCCTGATTAACTAGTATTATTAGCTGCTCTAAGTCTTTCCTTCTTAAGTCTTCTAAAATGACCTGTTGCCCTCCCCGACCTCTGCCCCAGTACAGACTAGAAAGTTGTATTTCATTGAGAAAATTAAGGCAATTCACTGGGGGGCCCAATCTTCACTGCAAAATCCTTCTGTATCTTCTTCACCCATTCTTTCCTTAATTAACTCAAAAAGCATTTATTAAAAATCCACCAAGTGCCAGCCACTGTGCTAGGTTCTGGAAATACACAGGCAGAAATAAAATAGTTCTTGCTCTTAAGGAGTTTACATCCATAGGATCATAGCTTTAGAGACAAAAGAAATTTTAAAGGCAATTAAGTGCAACCCTCTCGTTTCACAGAAGAGGAGCCTAAAACACAGACAGGTTAAGTGACTTGTCCAGGGTCACACAGCTCCTAAGTGTCAATAGTGGGGATATGAACCTAGGCCCTCCTGACTCCAAGTAAATCCCTTTATTCTGTATAACATGCTGTCTATAAATTCTAATGGGAAAGATAGGATATAAGTATATAGAAGGTAAACGCAAGGCAATTTAGAGGGTAGGAATCAGGAAAGGTCTCATGAATGAGTGATGTTTGAATTGATCTTTAAGGAGGTAGTCCCAGGGGAGATGGCAAGGAGTGGGCGCTCCACACAATACTAATGCAAAAGCATGGAGGCCAAAAGTGGAGTATCATATCTGAGGAACACTAAGGGATTCAGAAGGACCAGACTGCAGAGCACATAAAAGCGAACAGCACATAATGAGCGTGGAAAGGTGGCTTAGGGCCAGGATGCCAGACAGAGAAGTTTACATTTGATGCAACGGGCAAGAAGGTACCGCCAGAGTTTCCTGGGGAGTGACAGGGCCAGATATGTGTTTTAGGAAACTCCATTTGTTGGGACAGATTGGAGAGGGGAAAGATTTGAGGCAGGGAGAACTAGCTGGAGGAAGGAGGTACTGAAATAGCCCAGGTGAGAGATACTTAGGGCCTGAACAAAGGAGACAGCCATTGGAGAGGAGCAAACAAGAGAGACAGAAGAGGTACCGTGAAGGCAGAACCAAAAAGACTTGGTGCATGATTGGACATAGGAAGGGAAGGAGATTGAGGAGTCATGAAGGACACTGAGGTTTTGAGCCTGGGTGACTGGGAGGATGTTGACACCCTCAACCAGAACAGGTAAGTCTGGAAGAGGAGAGGGTGTGGCAGAGAAAGACAATGAGCTCTGTCTTGCATATGTTGAGTTGGGGATGGCTGCAGGACTTCCAGTTGGAAATATTTGATAGGCAGCTGGTGATGTGAGACTAGAGCTCAGGAGGGAGAATAGGGCTGCAGAAAACTGGAAGATGGGTACATTCTAATATTAAACAGAACAAAAAACACAGCTCTGTACATGGCGGTTATAAACTTACAAATGCCATCACTGAACTCAGAATATCCCTGGCTACGTTCAGATAGCTGTGTCTCGAAGAGGGCCATACCTTTGTTCGTCTCCATCAGCTGTTTCTTCTTCTTCTGTCGTTCCATCTTTTCTTGCTCAGCTTTCTCTTTGGCAAGCTTGGCTCTCTTGCTCTTCTCCTCTATTTCTCTTCTCTTGTTGTTTTCCTTCACTGCTTCCTGCATTACAGAATACAAAACACAAAACATTCTCAATACCTATGATGGTGGTACCGAATATTTGGAGGTAGTGAAGATTTTACAAATCATGTTTACATGCAGAGAGGGGAGAAACTTCAACTTCCCGAAGATAAATGTGTGTGCTTTGGAGAAAAAATAAGGGAATAATTTATCTGGAGACCATATCTCATCAAGTATAAAACGTTAGAAGCAACCTAAGCTTCAGACAGTATTTCTTGGGGGCCCAAATATTAGAAAAACGCAAATGTTAAAAATGGATGATAAAAGTATTTCTTTTTAACAGACTAAAATTCAGAATATGTTTTGATAAACGTAAAATGAAGGTTTAACATAATCAACTCAGCTAATAATTCATTATTTCATCACACACCTAATTGCCTTTTTTAAGTATATACCTAATGATCCAGAGAATGTAGCAGTCTGTAACATTATTACAGAGATGAAATATCTATGATTATCACAGTGCTTTAGTATGTTTAAACAAATCATTAGAAATGCAGTAAACATCTTTTTTGCTCTTGGGCCAACGAGAATCAGCCACTTCCGAGGTATAAGGAGACCATATTTCAGGATGCTGTCATTTGTTCTGGAAATATATTGATAACTCACAAGAGAATCAGAATATTCTATTAGCACATCTGAGAGGTTAACACAAAGTGACCAGAAATAGTAGCCAATTGGATTCCTCTTGGATCAGATAGGGGTCTAAAAAACAAACCAAAAAAAAAAAAATAAAAAACACAAAAGAGCTTGTATTGATGTCTTTATTTTTATATCATCTATGGAAAACTATCCTTTATAACAAAGAATGAAAATGAGGAAAAAAATGTTTAGGAAAATGGCACTGAAAAAAATCTGATATTCTATGCAGTGTTCTACATTGATAATCCCTCCCCTCTGCAAAGCAGAAAGAGAAATGCCGTCTCATATTTCTTTTTTTGGGACCTAGCTTGGCCACGAGAATTTCTCACTAAGCACTTAATAATGCTTTCTCATTCATTCATACATAGAGTTCTCCTTGCCTTGGAATCAGTTCATCCAAACTTTGTGCTTTTCTGTGTTTATTATATTCATTGTTTCTTATTTCAAATTAATACTTTGTTACATTTATGTACCACCATTTGTTTAGCCAATCTCCAATCAAAGGAGGATCAAATTTGTTTCTTCTTTATTTTGACAAAAAGTGCTGCCAGTCGATATTTTGGTAAACGTGAGGCCTTTCTATCACTGACTTCCTTCAAGCATCCACCTTGCATTGTGATCTCTGGACAATTTTAATCACTTTCTTATAATAATTCCAAATTGATTCCTAAAAGTCTTGGACAAACACAGCTCCATCAATAGCCCATCTTTCTACAGCCTCTCCAATTTTTAACTCTTCTCATCTTTTATCACATTTGCCAATTTGCTGTATATGAGATGAAACCTTAGAATTGTTTTGATTTCCATTTCTATTGTTAGTGATTTAGAGCATCTTTCTATCTTGATGATTATAGTTTGTAATTCTTTTGAGAACTGTTCGTCTATATCCTTTGATTACTGACCTATTGGGGAATGACTTTTGGTCTTCGTTATTTCATTGGCTGCTCATATGCCTTGTATATTAGACCCTTATCTAAGATATTTGATTCAAGTGTTTTTCACTAGTTGATCATTTCTTTTTTTTTTTTAATTCTACTTTCATTAATTGTCCATGTAAAACGTTTTCATTTGTTTGATTCGGAATTCATCCCCTAGTTAGAGTTATGAAAGGTATCCGATCTGATTCTCTTCTGCATTTTTTATGACATGATCTTTAATATTCAGGTCATGTAATTATTTTGAGTTTATTACAATATGCTGTACAAGATGTTTGTCTAAACCCAATTTCTGCCACAATACTCTTTAGTTCCCCCAACAATTCAGATTAGTTGCTAGTATAATAAAGTATCAAGTGTAATATCCTACCATGAAGCTTTCATTTTTTTTTCCTGTTATGACTGACTAGACAAACTTTATATCATGTATACAAACTAGCGCTCAAATTACTTTGGTCCAAAACCATAAAGAAAAGGAGTCATTACTGCAAGTCATATGCATATGGCTTCACCTAGAAAACACAAATATTTATGTCTTTCATCTGATTCTCTTAAAAATATGGAATTCTCCTAAAAAGCTGTTTGAACCTTTAAAACAGCTTTTTTAAGAGAATCACAAAATCTTTGCTGTAAAAGGGACAACCAAATCTATCAATTCCAACCCATACCTGAACAACAGGCCACCCCTTACCTCACACGAGAAAGGTCAGTCATCCAACCATCAATGAGGTTGAAAACATGACCTCCCCGAGCAGTCAATTCCAACAGCTCCAACTGTTACATCATATCAAGCCTAAATTTGCCACTTTCCAATTTTCAACAGTGTTCAAATCTGTAGAGAGTTATGAAGGATAGGGACTGAGAAAAAACCATAACAATCAACAATAATTAAAGGACCATGAATAACCTCTGAGGAATCATTCTGGTCTGCCGGGTTTCCTTCTTGGGCAACTCTTTCTCCATGGTTTGTTTCTCTATAATATCTGAGCTCTTCTTCTGTTTGCTTGTATCTCTGGCCTAAGTTCCTGTTTTGGGATTCTGTTTTGGGATTTTGGCTTTCTCACACTCCTGATTCCCATAGGCAGGCCCTGGGTGGTCCTGAATGACTTTTATGGGCTTCCACTAACCTTGGTGTGTCTGTACTCGGAGCACTGCTGAGCTCAAGGGTTTGTGGTGAGAGCGGCACACTTAGCTGCCCTTGTCATGGTACTGCTGTGGTCTTTGGGCACCGCTGTGGCATCCCTGTTTGGGAAAGTGCCATGGTCTTCAGTCTTCTCTCGAGGCTTCCCGGGTGGGGTGCTGTCACTTCCACCCCCCCGGGGGTTCATGTATCAGGGCGCTACTGTGCTCTTTTGTCCTCCCTGGACTTTAGCCAATGAACTGAAGAGGAAGCAGGCCATTATCACAAACCAATCTCTTGCTCCATTTGCCTAGACATAACATTGGTCCGTAAAAACCTTAAGAACAACAGTTTAGATGGATTTTGTCATCCTAAAGATGTGTAATCTCCAAGTTACATGTAAGGAAAAGCTTTGAAAAGAGTGAGACCCAGTAGAAGAGCTCAAGACCATACGGGAACAGGATGACAAGAATATCATCTCCATCATCCTCTCTGCTACTGGCGGCATCCTGAGGACACTCCTAGCGAACCTAGAGCGGGCACTTTACATTTGAATACTTTTATTCAGCTTCTCAAAGCAGCTATTTCATCCACCTGTGAAATAGTCTGTACAACCCTAAATATAAAGGCATGCTGACAGGATGATGGCTTGTGCCAGAACCGTTTTTATTTGAATCTCATCAAAAAGGAAGAGAACGAAATAAGAAAAAGAAGAGCTGCTATTTGCATGATGCTTTAAGGTTGACAAAGCACTTTCATACACATTACCTCACTGGATCTTCAAAACCACCTTGGGAAATAGGTCCTAGTAGTCCACTCATTTTACAGATAGGGAAACCGAAGCACAGAGAAGTTAAGCAACTTGGGTGAGGGACACACGACGAGTAACTGACTGAGACAGGATTTGAATCTGGCTGTTCTTGATTCTAAATCCAGCTTTCTAGGCACCAGGCTAGAGTGGTTTTTTTTCTAACCATCTCAAGCATAAATAATAATAAACTTGTGAAATAAAAATTTTATTAAAAATATAGGGTAACAAATGACCAATGGTAAGACATTAAAAACAAAACTCTAAACTCCCAAATAATGGGCTGTGATCAACACCATTTCCTGTTTATAACACTGCCTTTCTAACTATAATTCAGGAATCTTTAAACATCACTGGGAGGTAGCCATGCATCATTATTGCTTAGTGGATGGGAACACCAAATGCCTAAAGTTGTTTTGCGGTTTAGGATTCTGTCATGGCTAAAGGGTGCTAATTGAGAGCATGTGTGAACAGCAGACTGATAAAAATATAAATGCATTTGCGAAAAAAATAAACTTAGAAACAAATCTATTTCCCAAGAATTGGTGAAAAGAAGCAAAGTAACAAAAAATTTACTGCAAAATATATTCACCAACCTCATTTTAAATCTCTTGCTGAAATCTCTCTTGCTTTGCTGAAAAAATATGAATAAATTAAAAATCTTATTTCCCTTGCTGTGCATAATTAACAAACGAGACCTATGGACTAAAAATGTCAAATGCAAAAAAGCTCACGTAAATGCTAAGACCTCATTTATTCCAATTAGGCTGTAAGAAATGGATGAAATGGGTTCAGAAAATTCCAAATAGTTCACATCTAAGGGGAGCAGCCACATGCAGGTCACTTTTTAATCTGAAGCAGCAAGCACATCTTTCTGACTTTACTAGACAACTTGAAAACAAAACAAACATTACAACACTGGCTCTTCAACATTGTTCCCCTCCCTTTCCTTTCTCAGCTTATAGTTTCAGGGTCAGTTTCAGAAAATCATGGCAAATTTTGTAGGATAATGTCTGCTTCCCTGTTCCAAGGAGGTTCTGCTGGAGACATCCAATGTGAGCATGCTATTTGTTGTAGTTCTTGTGTATGTTTTCCTGATTGTTTACTTAAGAATACATGAGGGGGCAGCTAGGTGGTGCAGTGGATAGAGCACTGGCCCTGAAGTCAGGAGGACCTGAGTTCAAAACCGGCCTCAGATCAAACGCTTGACACTAGCGGTGTGACCCTGAGCAAGTCACCTAACCCCAATTGCGTAAAAAAAAAAAATGAAACATGAGTATTTTCGTATATTTCAACCTCATTATACATTACTCCCTACCCGCCCTCTAAAGTCCAGTCTCTCTCTTCCATTCTAGTCTCGCTCACTGCCATTTAGACATCTCAAATTGGATATCCTGCAGTCGTCTCAAACTCAACATATCCAAAACTCATTTTCCTAGCCCCAAAAAGTAATCCTTCGGTAGTTTCATTGTTA